AATGTTTACTTTTGAAATTCCCCATTGGGCTATGCAAAAGGGAAAACATTTTTCAACTGTCAACTGTACATATATACTTAAAGGGTTATTATACCCTCCATTTTTTTTGCATAAATCTACTGCTATCAAGCAAAATGCCATAAGTGCTATCTTTCGGCCAAATTGTAGTGCAACCCTGCTTTCTCTCCTCCCTGCTGGGCGCTGCTCTGTGTCCCCTCTGACACAACGCAGCTTCCAGTGGGGAGGCAAGAAACTGTCAGAGGAGGCCGAGCGTAGCGATGTGAGCGGCCAGCGTGTCACAAGAGGCCGGGCTCTCCTCCCACCCCACACAGCCTCCTGTGACAGATCAGGAGAGCGGTGTGCGGGGGCGGAGACAGCTGCCAGCTGTCACAGGAGGCCGGGCAGGTGGTGTGAGGGAGGAATCATCGGTCACAGGAGGCTGAGCTCTCCTCCCCACTCTACTCGCTCAGCCTCCTGTGACAGTGAGTCAGGATGGAGAGTGGGTACAAGCAGTCAGTGATCGCTGAGTGTTTGTAAATAATAGAGGACAGAGTATGTTTACTGTGTCCCCAATTATGAATGAATGGGAAGTGATCTACATCATTTCCTGTTCATTCATGATTGTGGACATAGTAAACATACTATCTGCTTATGAATGAACAGGAACACTCAGTATAGAGACTTCCTGATCATTTAGACCAGGGGCTGCAAAAAAAAAGATTGTGTCCTCAATCTCTTTTTCTATTTTAAAAGGGAAATATCAGGGGTCTGTTTAGGCCCCTAATAAAATTTAATTTCGGTGCACCTCTAGTAATAATAATAATAATTAGGGATTTGTACATCTGTTTTAATGTATGATTTTGTTTTTATAAATATAAATAAAGAGATGCACCGATACCAGTTTTGCGACTACAAGTACTGATACATTTTTGTGTCATGTGACAGTTTTCTAAAAAAATAAAGACTAATGATTTCAGGACAGTGGTGTAGCGCCAGAGCCAGGCCCCAGCTGCAACCCTGGTAGTTCTCATGAAAATGCCAATTATCGGCACTGGTACTCGAAAAGTATCGGCGCATCCCTAAAAATAATACAGTAATAACAAGTGTACACTGCTTATGCTGGTGAGATGAAAAAAATTTAACATTTAGATTTTAAATCTTGCAACAAGTTGACAGTGCAGCAGAGCTATCAGTGTACTTGTTACCAGATGTGGTAGCATCCCACCTAGAGTGGATGTGTTCAGTCTCTATGCTCAGGGAAAATGCTAGCCTATGCTTCTAATGTGCTTTGACAATTCACTTGTACCTCCTGCTGTTCTTGCTCAAAACCTCTCATCAGGCTCTCCGACGCTGGCAAAGTAAATCTAGCAGGCAGCTCCGCATCCCTCCTGGTCTGTGTAGGGTCCTGGACCTCCACTCTTTACTGTATCAATTTGTTACACTTTAAAGACACTCAATGTCAACCTATAGTGCCAGCGTGAGATAAATGTAAGAAGATTAACCACATACAGAGCGGAGGGGAATAACTCTGTCTCCTGCCTGCTTTCACTTCTCCAGACCCTAAAGTGGAAATGCTTTGCCATATTGCTCAGCAAGTGAGCTGTCAGTCTTCAAACAGCTCTCGGGTACCCATGTTTACCCATAACACAGGGATGGATTCCTGCATTCCTTCTAGGAGCGAGCTCCCCTCGTTATCAGTGTTGATACAATTTTAGCTGAGGATTTCTGTTTACCTCTAAATATTATAGGCTGTAAGGAAGCCAGCAAAAGCTTTTTAAGTCTGTAGTTAAATTGTTGACCAATGCAACTGATTTTAATGCACATTACAGGTAAAAGGTTGCAGTGAGAGACGCGTGCCTGCTTGGCTAATGATCCTAAAGGTTGGAAAATGTCACGCAATATTCTTTTCATGTATGCGGATATAGCAGAGACAATCTGGCACCAGGTGGTGCTGCCATAGAGGCAGAAATGAGAAGATCCCCCGTCATGCACTGAATAATGGCTCTACACATCAAGGAAACAGAGAATTGTTCAGGAAAAATCAAAATTGACCAGATGGCTATGTTCTAAGGGTAACCATAAATGTGTCAATGGTTGCATGCAACATAACAAAGTCAAGTATCGCATGCAACAACAGGCGGACCATTGGATTGTATAAGGGCTGACTAGGAATACTCTTATTATTACTACAGGTATATATAAAGCCCTGACAATTTATATCAGTCCTTGTAGTCAAAAAAAACTTACCATCTAAGGCAATGGCATCACAAGAGGGGTGCGGCCCGCACCCGGGTAACACCATTGGAGGGGTGACACTAAAATGACTGGCAGTCATTTTGGTGTCACCCCCTCTAAAAAGTCGGGCACTAGGTCATGGACCGAGAGCCCGACAGTGTCAGGAGAGAGGAGGGGACCCGGCGGCATACCTCATGCCGTCGGGTGAACGTCCCCTCCTCTCTCTGCCGGCGTCCATCAATTAGATGACCGCACATGCGCGATGACGTCATCACACACGCGATGGCGTCATCCACCCGTCCTCGGGTCACCCCTGATCTAAGGCCCCTATCTCATTTGCATGCATTCACATAGTAGCGCCAGTTTAGACAGGAGCCAAATAACCTACCAGTGTGTCTTTTAGAGTGTGGGAGGAACCCACTGTACCTGGAGGAAACACACACGAACACATGGAGAACTTGCAAACTCCAGGCAGATGGTGTCCTGGGATCCAAACCAGGGACCCCAATGCTGCTCAGAATGACATGTTTAGTTCCCAAAAAAAACCTTTGGAGAGCGAACTCTGAACTGTAAAGGTTTACTGCTTGGTAGGTCTAGGTGTGTTGGGATAAGAAGCAATACTCATCTTAGTTTTTGCTCCAGCAGGTTTCCTCCATCCGTGTGACTGGTCCACCATAGTCTCCTCTGTAAGGTGCTTCCAGCTGCAACCACCCACTTCTCTCCTCCCTGTAGAATTTAGGGAAGAGCCCCAGGAGCGTGGGTACGGTAACTGAAATTTCATATACATTTTATTGTTCCTGTGATTTCAAATGTTGTCTTTATTCTTTGCAGCTTTCATTAAAAGAATACCTAGGCATCCTGTCATATGGCTCCTTGTTCCGATACTTCCTGTTATGGGGGGGACAACTGCCTCCCAATTGCTTTTCCTCCTTGTCACCCTGTGCCCCAGGTGGAGACAATATGTCCATACACATTGCACAGGCATGGTCCACTGTTAACACTATCAGAGAGCAGGTCCAGATGTGCAGCCAACACTGGGGTGAGATCCTGTGGACCAGAGGTAGACAACCTTGGCAATCCAGCTGGATAGATGGATAGATAGAGATAGATAGATAGATAGATAGATAGATAGATAGATAGATAGATAGATAGATAGGATAGACTTTCTATTCTGTATATGTATAATAGTGGTAGGCAATCTCAGCTGTGGATAGATTACAAGTCCCAACATATGCATCATGGGACTTGTAGTTCCACAGCAGATGGAGTGCCAAGGTTGACTGCCCCTGCTATAGACAGAAAGTGGCTGCAAGAGACTGGAGGAGATCAGAAGTGTCGAGATGCAAAAAGAGAAAGGAAAGTTAAAACTGTATTTTATGAGGGGAAAAAAAAAACATGGCACTTGTTTCTGATTCACAGAACAGTGACAAAGTAAATGTCATGGAGTTAGGTGTCCGATCTCGGTTAACATACCTGTGCACATGTCAGTACTTCGCCCATTGCAACAAAGAAGTCAACTGTCATTTGCAATAACCGCTTAGAGAACAGGAAGGAGCAAAAGATACGTTCAGATCAGATCAAGCAAAGTCAGTGGCATCAGATGCAGAAATCTTATAACATGCTACTATTTTTCTGTCGTTGCAAGGAAACATTGGTCAGGGCATGGAATCAGGAAAGTCCCTGTGCAAGATTTCTGCAGTTACCTGTAAGAAGAAAAAAAAAAATCAATTAGATATTAAGTTGCAAAATGGACAAGGAGCACACTTTGTGTCATTGATGATCTCCGAAGGATTGGTCAGCACTGCATCCTGCAAGAAGCAAAAACAAAATTGTCAGCAATCAATATTTAGGAATCAGTATCTATCGGCATGTGAGTGTGCTCTGTCCAGGATCCTGGGTGTACTATGTGATCACAGTGAGCAGTGAGTGTGATCTGTCCTGGTTCCTGGTTGTACTATGTGATCACTAGGAGAAGTGAGGGTGCTCTGTCCAGGATCCTGTGGGTTCTATGTGATCACTGTGAGAAGTAATGATCCCCCTATAATATTTTTGGGTATGTGAGTGTGATCTATCCAGGATCCTGGGTGTACTGTGTGATCACTGTGAGCAGTGAGTGTGATCACTGGGAGAAGTGAGGGTGCTCTGTCCAGGATCCTGTGGGTTCTATGTGATCACTGTGAGAAGTAATGATCCCCCTATAATATTTTTGGGTATGTGAGTGTGATCTATCCAGGATCCTGGGTGTACTATGTGATCACTGGGAGAAGTGAGTGCGCTCTTGGCAGGATCCTGGGTGCACTATGTGATCACTGTGAGCAGTGAGGTGTGCTCTGTGCAGGATCCTGGGTGTACTATGTGATCACTGGGAGTAGTCATGATCCTCTTCACTCCCCGCCATGCATTGAATGTCATGCTCGCAATCTCCGCTCTGACACTGTGTGAATCCATCGCAGCCTATTTACTAGCACAGCTGTGATCACACGGACACGCCCCCCGCTGACAATAATTGGTTCAGAACGCGGAAGGGATTCACATTCCGCGAGTCTAATCCCCGTCCAATCACGAACCGCGGCCGGAACGGCCCGGCCAACCACGGCGCAGGGGAACGCCCACCTGTCAGCCGCCTCGCGCCGGGGTATATAAGTGAATGTCGAGCGTCCTGCGGCTCATTCTGAGCTAATCGAAGCGTGTGAATAGAGAGCGTGTAACCCGAGGAGATAGCTGCGAGCGCTGGTCGTGACTCTCTATATTCGTCTGTGCGTGTTTGTGCGCGGGGAGTTCCTTGTCTGTACTGCCCGCGCTATGAAAGCATTCAGTCCCGTCCGATCTGTCAGGAAAGGCAGCCTAACGGAGCACAGCCTAGGCATTTCCAGGAGCAAAACGCCAGTGGACGATCCGATGAGCCTGCTGTACAACATGAACGACTGCTACTCCAAGCTGAAGGAGCTGGTGCCCAGCATTCCCCAGAACAAGAAAGTCAGCAAGATGGAAATCCTCCAGCACGTCATCGATTACATCCTGGACCTGCAGATCGCCCTGGACTCGCACCCCAGTATTGTCAGCCTGCACCACCCGAGGCTGGGCACGTCCTCCACCCGGACCCCACTGACCACCCTCAACACAGACATCAGCATCCTGACGCTGCAGGTACGGGGCGACCTGTCACGTCGTGCTGTGCATGGTCCCTGCGATCTCATTATAATGTGCATGGTACCTGTGACCTCATCCTACTCCCTGTGATCCCAGTGCATGGTCCCTGCGATCTCATTCTGGGCTTTGCGATCCCATTATGATCCTATGCATGGTCCCTGCTATCCCATTTGGATCATATCCTCATCCTTGCGATCTCATGCTGATCCCATTGTGATCTGATCTCATCCTGATTCCTCCCCCCCTCTGATCCTATTGCTTATCCATCTCTACCCCACACCGTGCATCATCTCTACTGCTCCCCACTTCACAATGCATGACATTCCCGTTTGCTGGGTATACGATCTTTCATCCTCAGCATTGTCCTGGGCCCCCTTCATCCGGAATATACTATGTTCACCTGCTGGTTGTCGCCATGATCTCCTGCATTGTATGTCATTCCTTCTCACCCTCCTCTGTAGCCAGGTGTCTCCTCTCCAATTATGCTTTGTGTATGTGCTCTGCTCCTGTCCCTGCTCTCTTCCCCTCCTCCTGGCATCCTCTCTTGCCATCCCCTGTCTCTGCTCTCCTCTGTCCTGTCTTTCCTCTCCTCTGTCCTCCCCTGTCTCTGCTCTCCTCTGTCCTCCCCTGTCTCTGCTCTCCTCTGTCCTCCCCTGTCTCTGCTCTCCTCTGTCCTCCCCTGTCTCTGCTCTCCTCTGTCCTCCCCTGTCTCTGCTCTCCTCTGTCCTCCCCTGTCTCTGCTCTCCTCTGTCCTCCCCTGTCTCTGCTCTCCTCTGTCCTCCCCTGTCTCTGCTCTCCTCTGTCCTCCCCTGTCTCTGCTCTCCTCTGTCCTCCCCTGTCTCTGCTCTCCTCTGTCCTCCCCTGTCTCTGCTCTCCTCTGTCCTCCCCTGTCTCTGCTCTCCTCTGTCCTCCCCTGTCTCTGCTCTCCTCTGTCCTCCCCTGTCTCTGCTCTCCTCTGTCCTCCCCTGTCTCTGCTCTCCTCTGTCCTCCCCTGTCTCTGCTCTCCTCTGTCCTCCCCTGTCTCTGCTCTCCTCTGTCCTGTCTTTCCTCTCCTCTGTCCTCCCCTGTCTCTGCTCTCCTCCGCTCCTGTGTCTCCTCTCCTGCCATCCCCTGCCTCTTCTGTCCTTCAGTCTCAGTTCTCCTCTCACACGTGTTTGTTTTCTCATTGCAGGCGTCTGATTTATCGACAGAGTTCATCACGAATGACAGCAAAGCTCTTTGTCCTTAAAGATGGTAAGTGTCTGGTGTGGGGAGAGATCGCTGAGTGTGTGTGGGGCTGATTCAATGTTACCCAGG